TGTAGAGTGTGTCACCAGGCCGATGCATTTATTAGTGTGTGTTTTCTGGTAATATTATTTTTCTGCTGTTTTATTCCTGTGGCCCTGGGAATGACAACATACATGACTGTCAATAAGAAAATTGCTTCAACTCCAAAGATACCCAGAATACAAGCTGAGGAATGTGATGCACAATCAAGCCACAGAAACATTCAAATTCTGAAGGCAACAAACAAAATGCTTTACTTTTTGCTTATTGCAAGCATATTATTTTGGAGTCCTCAGTTGGTTAACATTTTACTTAACTTTTGGTTGTGTTTCCATTTGCCTTCTTGGATGAAAATTCTATTGTTCTTTGTAAGTCAACTCTTTGAAATAGTTCGCTGCATTGTCAATATTCAGTTTCTGCATTTCCTAACCAAGTCTGAGCAAAATGCAGGTCTATTAGGCAAAAATCAGGCAGCAGTATCGCCCAAGCAAGTTGCTGAAGATAAGAACACGCCTTTCTTCGAAAAAGTGAATAATACAACCTTTGCTACGGAAATTGAAAGTGTAGATAGTAAAATAAAAACTCCCAACAGTAACAATTAACATTATTTTCAAAGATTATACTTTTTATAATCTTTAGAAATTTGTCTGCAATATCTTTCTAGAGTTGTGAGTATTAAAGTCAATATACTATATTAATTTCCTTAACAATTATTATATATATTATATTAAAATTTAGACAATTTATTACTAACATTATCACATTTGTCTTCTTTTATACATTAAAATCAATATTATATTAACCCCATAGTAAATATAGTAGTTTCAACAGGTCTCATGTCGTAACAAATATTCCAGTACTCCAGTTAAAGGTATGCATATTCGAAAGAAAGGAAGGAAGAAACAAAAGAAATGAAATGAAAAAGAAAGAAAAAAAATCCTATACATTTTAAAAATGAATTTAATTTTATTAATTTTTAGACCCAATAAATGAACATTTGTTCACATTTTAATGCTTCGAATGGGATTTTAAAAAGTAAGAAAGGTAGCATGAAATATTAATGTAGAATTGTTTGACTGAGTAATATCTTGTAAACTTTTGAACAAAATGAAGATGTCAGTATGTTTGTATTAAATGGAAGTTAATTAACATTAATTTCTTTTATTAATGCTTTTCTCTTTTAGTGCCTGCAGTTCCTTAGTCCATGCTCATTCCCTTTCCAACCACTTTTGATGTATACTTTTATTGTTCAGAGCAGTTAGCTGTATTTGCTATTTTTCATTTCCATCCCCCATTTAAATCATAAATGCACTTATACGAGACTACATCCAGTATATTGTGTAAATTCAATATGATAAAAATCAATGGCAGAGTCCCACATAATGATGCAACATTGATGTTCAAAATACATCAACGAAAAACCATCTACGTTTTTCAAAATCGATGTTTTATGATTGAATCAGTAACTTTTAACAATAATTCAGTGCATTAAAATTTAATTTGACAGTGCTCGTGTTTATCAATTCGCCGAATAAGGATATGAAAAACAGGGACAGACCCTATGCCTACATTTGTTAACTGAATTATCTCAATGTGTGAAACGAACATGGAGAAAGAGGAAATATAAAGGAATGGAGGTCAACTCAGGCAAGAGAGTTTGTTCGATGAAGGTAATGCAAAAAGCCTTTCTTCGTTTCCCACATACGGATAGCAGTGTTACTGTCAGTTATTATTTCTCATTTTAATTGCATTGTGATAATGGGAATTTTTCATTCAGAAACAAAACATTGGGAAAGAAAATGCATCATTCATAAAACACTGATGTTAAAAAACAACAGTGTTAATACATTGATATTTAAAACATCAATGTTTCTACAATTACATCAATGTAGTTTCAAGTGAAACAAGTTCAAGTAGAGCATTCTAAACAATATAACAAATTTTTGCAAACATTGTGACATGCATTTGGTATAAAAAGGTATAAGGTCGTACACAATACCACTTGAAATAAGAATTCTGGATGCTGCTGTCACCCAACCTATAGTTTTAAACCAGAACAATCTAGGGAACTTGAAATCTATACCTACTCAGCCGATGCCACATCCTAGGAACAGGTGTCAACGTTTCAGGATTAAAAATTAAGGGGACAATGAAAGTCAAGGTTGGCAAGCACAATGTAGGAAATACCAATATAATGAGCGAGGACTTAAAAACAACTTAAATTCACTGAAAGATTAGCAATTCACTGGTTAAAGGAACATTCAAGAGAAAGTCCGAAAACTTATGATAATGAAGTTTTCAAACTTTTGGCAATCCTACAGTTTTGTATACAAAACTGTCACAGTCCCTTAAACTTCTTTGGAAGAGTAACCTGGATAGTGATCTCTAGTAGTTGCAACACAATTCCAGAAACTGAGATGAGATTTTTTTTGGTCATCTCTGAAGTAACAAGAAAAATTGAAAAACAATCCTCAGGAGAGAACCTTGGAATTTACAATCCCCAAAAGAAGATCGAAGAACATAGAAATGAATGGAAAGACCATGAAATTTAAGAATGAAAGAGTTCCAAAGAAATTCTTATAATATGCACTCAGAGCATACAGAAGCATTGGCACTTCTAATAAAAAGACTGTCACACCCAAGTTAACATCAGAGAAACTCTGATCAATGTTGAATGATTGAAGTACTCTATACTTGATTTATAAAAATATCTAAATATCCAACAGGAAAGGTCTCTCTGGAACATTGTGAATTGTTCTTGTTAGATTTTAGATTACTTTTACACTATTATAAAAATACACTTCATACAAAATTTCTTGCATACAATTACAAGTAGGACATAGATTATTTCCAACAGACTATGGCGAATTCATTAGCAGATTCACAATTGTTGTGGAGTTATGTACTTTCAACAGCAACTTCTACCAAGTAACAAATGATCAGGCTGAATTGCATCACCAAACTACTGAACTTTTTTGTGGCAATTTTACTGCAATTGAATTGTAGTTTCTCTGCAAAGATATTCCAAATCGAGAACCTTATTCCTGATCATGCATTGCAATAAGCCAAGTGATGACGGAGGATTACCAAATACTTTTAAAATATAAAATTCTTAATTCTTAAAAGTAACAATCCAGAAAGATTATGTGAATAAACAATTCTATAAAAGGTCCAAATGTACAGTCTATACTTGTTAATTTACTTAATTTACATTCCTCACAAAAGAAAGGAATTGCATATTTTATAATTTCAATGATGGTTTACATAAATGTGCACTAAATTAGGAAACCCACAATAAATTACAAATTGAAGTGACAAAACTAACCTACTCAAGAATAAACATAAAGAAAGATAAGAATTAAAATTAAAGATACAAACAAAACTTACTGTTCAACATTAAAAATTAATCCTGAGATAACACAATATTTAATTAAAATAAACCTTTGAGGAATAAATGTTTTAATTATCTAAAATATTTAACATAAATTCTGCACATTTCTTTCAAAAAATATTTTCTACAAACATTTTATTTCACACCATTGGAAAATTCATGATACATTTCAGCAAAAACAAAAATTTAATAATTTTTTTTATAATTTTTTTTTTTTTTTTTTGGAGGGACATTCCTTCTTGCACCACATTTCAAACTTCGTTTGTTGAAATTTCTGAGAGAAATCTTTTCAATTTTACTTATTTATTTACTAGCAGAAGTACTCTGTGCTGCCACAATTTGTATTTTTCACAATCGGCTATCAAGACACAAAAAGAATTGAATTCTATTTATTACGTATCCCCACCTACTCTACCCTGCGCTGCACTGCCCAAACCTATCCTGCTCAGTCCCACCTGGCCTGTTCCTCCCCCTGTCTCTGCATTCCCTGTCCTGCTGAATTCACTATGATCATTGCTATGGCCAGTTGAAAACAGATGAATAACTGCATTCTCCCTGCAAACTTCCTATAACAATTCTGACTTTCAATTGACTACACTGTTGTAATGAATCAAAAATTGTATGCAATTGTATTGTGTAGAAAAGTGTAACTAATTTTAGTTTATTGTTTTTTACATAAAATTATAAAAAATTGAATGGTTTTTAAACAACACGTAAATAAACATATAAAATTATAAACTGACATATTTTGAAATTATAGACCAACATGTCAATTTCTTTTAAACATTTATTGGAGGTTTAGGGATCTTCAAATTACCTAAGTCATTGAGGCTCACAAGAGACAAACTAAAGAAAGATGACAACAATAATGATGACAGACAAACAGTGGAACAACACGAAGGGAAAACAGAACCCCTGAGGAAACTAACTGAAAATTTGCCTTGTCCACCAGTAATTCCATATGGATTGGCCAGAGATCAAACTAGGACCCCAGCAGTCAAAGGTTTATACACAAATCATTACACCACTTTTCTGCAGAACATTAATTTTTACATTTATACAAGTAATGTTGCAATGGATAATTTCATTGCAATCTCTCAAACAATTGTTTCATGCTAGTTATCTTCCATTAAAATAGCACAGAAATAGTCTATTAGTATGTTATGGTAGCATAACAGAATGAAATCCTGCACGCAACAGAAAATGCAAAACTGTCACATTAACAAATGGTATTTAAAAGGATGAATTTTCTAGCTGTCACAGTAAATGACTTAGTCTGATGTGAATTGAAACATCAGTTGAAAGAGGAAACATTACATTATTAAAAAAATAGTGAATTAAGACCTTTAAAAAACAATAACTGTTGTCACTATGAAAAATTTACTTTGATAATTAGATTCTACTTACTTCTTATTCATGTTTATGTTTTTCTCCGGTTTCACTTTTGAATTAATTTCTTCATACCACTATCACAATATTCCTTCAAAACCGCATCAGAAAAATACTGAGACTTCTGTGACCACATAAAACATTCTTAACTGCAAAACAAAATACCAAAATTGAATTAAGACCCTGCAAAAATAACATTTTAAGTGAAGTCCCAGAACAATATAAATCGCGTAAGCAAATGACAATTGGTACCCCAAAAATGTTCAGGACATTCATTGGCTTAAATCTGGCATCTTATTTCTCTCGATAGAACACGGTATAGCAAAAGTCTGTACGCACGTTTCTACCTGCTACAAAATCAATATGTATTTAACTACCCGACACGTCACGAACTTATAACCAAAAATATAGTGAAGTGAAAGTGATTAACATTTACGGCGATCAAAACCCAAGAAAACAGCCGGAACAAAGCATTTACCTTTTCTTGTTTACCTTCCTCATAAGAAATGACACATGCAAATGCTTTGATTTTTGGTAGCCAATATTACAAAAACGTAGAATCCTTTTTTTCTTGCAGATCTATCCTATTTATTCAAAAGCATCTTCAACCTATGCAATATGCAGTCTTACGAAAATTTCCGTCAATATCTTCACATAATGGAAAAATGGATGACAAGACGCAGTCCAAAACACGTGCAAAGAAAGATATATTTCCTTAAGCGCGTTCTAAAGTTTTCACGCGTATGTAACTTATATACGTCTCGAGTTAATCCGTAATGAACTGTAATTCTTTGAGTGGTTCATATTATTTCACCTACCATGTGCATTTCACCTACCATGTACACTGATCGAATAAACGAAGGCACACATCTTCATTTACAAGCAGCTTTGACATGAACCTCGAGTACCATAGAAAGTGACCAACATCGCCATCATTGCTTTCATCAAATGCATTGACCACAATCAGTAGCAGGTAGTAAGTATAGTTACATAAACAAAATATTCCAAGTACTCAGCAAAATTGCCTGGTTATTATTAAACGTGGATAAGTTTGCACTTATGACATTAAGTTCGAATAAAGTTGTTGCGATTTCATTATTTTACCGCGGGTCAAAACATGACCTCTGGGTCAGTTTTTGATTTACTACGAAGAAACGCGTTCAGTTTTAAGACACGACGATTTGACAAGCTGCACTTTTGGCGAAAGTAAATTTTAAGAATACACTATTTTTTTCCATTTGAAATATAATTTTTTTGTTTATAATTAACCCAACTTACAATTCAAATAAATTAATGTTTATTGTCGTTCTTGGAAAATTTCATTTTCTGGCCATTAGTGAAATATAAAGTGTTGAAGCGATCGTCGGAATAACTCAACTAAATAGTCGGCCTATTTGGAATATTGTTTTCGAAGCACTATTCTTATCACACGCACTTATCCTAAAAGAAGGCAGGGCCGAATTTACTGTGGTAGGGGCCACTGGGCAAAAACTTGGGAGAATCGCAGGAAAAATATCAAAAATACTCTAAAACTATTTATTTTTATTAATTTTTGATAATCAATAACACTTGCATTTCACTGTGTTATAGAGGCACTTTCCTTGCAGCAAAAACTTCTCTCTCTCAGAATATCGTTATTGCTGCTTAAAAGGGAGAGATGTTGAGTCAATGTCATTCACAATCTGTTTTTGACTATTTTCAGTTTTCAAAATAATCTTTCGGCAGTGCAATTAGTTACAAAAAAAAATAGATAAATTTTGAAAATTATTCTACATTAGGAAAGAATCCTGGACTTGCTTTAAAGTGTATATAATATGTTTTCGGCCGAAATATTTTCTGCTGCAAATCATTTTCAAAATTCCGTGCATTCAACGAGCTCAATTCGAATATTTCCGACATCGTTTATGTAAATTTCAGTTAACAGTTTTGCTTTTTCAATCAATTTTTCTGGTTCCACTTCCCTCAGACTAGCCAAGAAACCAAAACATGTAGAGGCCAAATCGAATTCATATGTTGAAATTAGTTGATCAAACGATGTTATGAATTGATCATTTACGAGGAGGTAATTTTCGATGAAAAATCTTTCGTCAAGCTAAGATTTCGTTGACGTTTCCTGGACATCACATACTCTGACGTCTCGGCTTTTTTCCATTCCTAACTGTTCGAATTGTGAGATTTTGTCAATGGCGGCTCATGAGCAAATGTTCAGGGTAGGCAAAACAGGTTACTGAACAGCGGTGGATCTCTGGACAGGGGCATGAGACATGCCTCATCTCAATCCATTTTGTTTGTAATTTTATTCAATTTATTCAAAACAATCGTCTCATTTTTATTATTACATTCCAAAGCATTACGTCTGTGACGAACGAGCAGACAGAATTTCAAGATATTCAAATTCTAAAAAAGGGTTGTGAGTTTGTGTTGCTCTGACAATAATACTGAAATCGGATTAATTTTTTTTCAGGCATTTAAAATTTATTATCTCTTGTTATCTCTTGACATTTCATGTTTTTGTACAGCTTTTGATACGTTTTCATGTCAAAATATCCATCTCTATTCCAAGTACTCTCCTTAAGACATGACGAACAATAAAACTAATCCTTAACGTCTCTACCTGATAAGACTTGTGTGAATTATTTAAAGCACATTTACTCGTAAATATAATAATGTGAAGATATCGCTTCTAATGTAAATATAAACGACGTGAGAGACAAGTCAAAAAATTACATTTTTGTAATTTTTGAAAAAACAAAAGAATTAGAGCAATAAGGTGTTTATGTCATTTCATAGAGTACATTTAGCACTATCCCTACCGAAAGTGTAAAGAAAAAAATTGCCGCCGTTTTTGAGAAAATCTTGTATTTATTATTTTTTAAACCTATGCCTCTTTCGTAGGTGTATATTTGTCACAGGAGAAGTTGATAGTAAAATCTCTCGCTAAAAAGTTTAATTTGTTCTGCCAACTCGCATTCAAAAACTCTTCCAACTTCGTACGTTTGTTATTGAAAAAATAATGTGAAATAGTAAATGTACGAATACGTACATTCGAATAAAGTGTAAATTTCTGGCAAATACTACAAAAGTTTCCAAAGCCGCAAATCCTATCCGATAAAAGAACAACGCACATTATATAAGTATACGATTACAATAATAGTATCATTTCCTTTTTTACATAAATAACAGTTATTTTTGAAATTTAGCTGCTTGTTTATGGCAAATAATATGTGTAAATTGATCGAAAAATATATAAATATATTTATCATTAAATACTGTAATATTTAAGTTATTCAACGCTGTAGTATTGTAATTCTCTAAATATGCTCGTTTTAACACGAATTACACGTTACTCCTCTGAACATGTAATGCTAAATAATATCCATGAGAATTGCTAGAAAGAAAATACATCAATACATCGAGAATGCAAATACATTCCTCGTCTTATGGACAGAAATATGGATTATCAAATAGGTTTTAAATAATTTCTAACATACATTTGTAAACGATACAAAAAGCTCGAATATAAGAAACGAACAAAGAAATATGAAAAAATATACAAATTCTATATTACGTAGCATCCAACTGCATCGAACCACCTCTCATATTACGATCACGAAGCACAGGAAATTCGAAGCGGGAAAAATTACGCACAAAATACTCATATTTTAGAAAAATTCAACATGACCGTATTTGAAGATGTTTTTAATGAACATATTCCATTAAGGAAAAAATGTATGTTCAGAATTGTACTTCGACGAAGACACCGAAAAAAAATTAATTTTTAAAATTTCCGAAAAATCAGGGATTTCAACGAACATGATAGCTGCATCTTTCTCCTATGCGTCCTTTACGCCATCTAAGCTCCAAATATAATTTTAAAAAATGTGCTAAGAAAAAAGACTTTAAAGAAAATAAAAATTGCCAATGTTTGACACGAAATTTTGAAAAAAAAACAAACTATTTTCGAAAAATTGAACATATTATTTGAAGATGTTTTTGATGAACACATTTTGTTAAGAAAAATGTTTATGTGCATAATATTGTAGATGTAGGAAGGCGACGAAAACAATTGAATTTTTGCAATTTTCGAACAATCAGAATTTTCAAGGAGCATGAGACCTGAACCATTCTCTTAAGCGTTCTATACACTTTAAGGTCAAAATTTAATCAAAATTGTGAGTGAAATTTTGAGAAAAAATGTTTATACAAAATTAAAAATTGCCTACATTTCATACAAAATTACGAGAAAAGTATTCATATTTTCGAAAAATTGACATGACCTTATTTCAAAATCTATCTTTAAAAAACATACTTCATTAAGGAAAAAAATCTTTATCATCAATATTTTAATTGTAGAAAGACTACGAAAAAATTTTGAATTTTTGTAATTTTCGAAAAATCAGGGTTTTTAACGAATATGAGACATATACCTTTCTCTTATAAGTCCTTCACATTATCCAACAACGAAATTTATTACAAAACATTAGAGCATTTTTTTAAACTTCGAAAATGTCTCATAGGCTTCACCCCTCCAAAATGAAATAGTTTCCAATTTAAGGGGAGTAACATCAGTCAGATAGATTAAGGGACATTAATTTTGAAGAAAATCGGCTGAACGGTTTAGCCACTAGCGTTGGTAACAGCCGGCCGGCCGGACAGACGTTTTGCTGTCTCCGATTTTTCGATATCAAAACATGGATTGCGGCTATCCCACAATCCATGAAGATTTTTTTTCTATATTTGGCAACTCGATTTGTTCATTTTTCATTACCAAGGCCGTGTAATAAGTTTTCTGTCGAAAGTTCTGCCTTTTTTCGGGCATATAACGTTCTCTCTACTGCGTAGCGAGAAAGAAAAACTGTTCTTTAAAAGAAGTCCAATACATTAAACAAAAATATGAGTAGCTTATCGTAATTTTGCAAATTTTCAAATTGGAATTTCACATGCTCTCTTTGCTTGCCTAAATACGGCTCCACACTTTTGACTTTCGCCGAATAGCTACTGCTCGTCCAGTTCCGAGCAGCTGATGTGCTCAATTAATGTTCGCTTCCTTTGATGGGTCCAAAAGACCGACACGCCGTGGGTAGGGCGATCACCGAACGTTTGTTGATTTCTCGGCAAATTGCAAGCATCCCCTTCCACCCTACTCGGGATTTTGTGAGCTGTCTCTTGCCACTCGCCGAATACTCATACGTGGAATCAACGTATGAATTTTGAGATTGGAATTGACAATGGCAGGCCCGCCGCAACACGGCAGTTTAAATTCTCAGAATTCCTTCTCTTTGTTGGGAGATGTTATAGCTGAATGAAATGCAGTTTTTATTACCGCATTTGAGTTGATATTAGCTTTAAAAGAATGGGTTTTTACATGTAATGCTCTACAATTTGTAATGAGGTTTACAAGTGATGACTGAGGTGGGTTAATATGTGGAGAAATGGCTGTGTCATTAAAATACATCACATAACCGTTTGAAATATCAGTGGGCCTAGTTCTTGGGATTTTTGAGATACTTTTCAAAAAAATTTTCACGTATTTTTATTTAACGTCAAAAACAATTAAAACTGTGTGACGTACTACTATGGGGAAGAGGGTATTCTGGGAAGGTTCCGGGATCGCCACGCTACTCTTATATAGGTTAAATTCTGAATACAGATGGAAATGAGAGTTTTTGAAAAGAATTGATATGAAAATATCCGCCAATGTGTATATGACAAACGAATAGTCTACTGTTGCTTTAACAATCCGCGCTGGCAACAACGGGCAGAAGCGACAGCCGTCACCACCACCGCCGCTGGGTCGTATTAATTATCAACGTCTAATTTTTAAGGCTAAAATACGCATTTCATTGTCGAACTTGAATTGATACATTAGCTTTTAAAAAAATAGTTTTGCCACCTAAAATCCGCGATTTATATTGTGTTTCACAAGTCATGATTTA